TTTTAGTATCAAGTTATGCAAAGAATTGTTAGCTGAAAGAGGTGATAATGTGCTGAAGAAATGGTTCTGCTTTGATGAATTTCGTTGGAGTACAATTGAGGTAGAATTCGATCACAGCTTTCTTCTTTGGCACATTGCTACCGATCTTTGTTATCATGCTGATTTTGGTGACAATGAAGATGATAATGATGAGACACTTCCTATAGAGTGTAAAATTAGCAGATGGTTATCTAATTATATGTTGTATCTTTTAGTCATTTGTCCGACTATGTTGCCCAAAGGGATCGGTGAGATACGGTATAGAGATACTTGTGCTGAGGCCAAAAGATTTTTCATTGAAAAAAAGTCTGGTAAATCCTCCACGAGTAAATTTACAACTTATAGGGAGGAGTTACTTGAGGTTAACGGCGGCGAGTCACTAGAGCGAATAAAAGGAGATAGAAGTCAGTCCGTGCTATTTTTTGGATGTAGGCTTTCCAAGCAATTGCAAATGCACTGGTGGAGTAAAAAACAAAAATGGGAGATGATAAGTGTAGTTTGGGTGGAAATGTTGGGATATGTTGCAAATCATTGTGGGTGGAAAGAGCATGGGCAACATCTTATGAAAGGTGGAGAGTTGTTCACTCATGTTTGCCTTCTAATGGCTCATCTTGGATTAAGTGAACAATACCAAATTCAAAAGCAATTGATTCACCGCTCTATACAGCGGAAATTTGATAGGCATACAGATACTTTTCGGAAGTCGCGTTTCCATCATAGGTTTAGATGTTTTTAAGGTCTCAAACTGGAGAAAACTGCTTAATTTATTTTTAGGAAAATAATTATATTTTACATAATTAAAATGTTTAATAAATAAAATTGTCTTTCATTTCAAGTTGTGAAGTTTCATAGCTATTGTTTTGAAGCAGACTGTTTTGGTCTAGGAATATTTTCCTTGTTATTTTTGACTAGTTTTTTAAACCAAGTTAAAAGGTGCTTAAATAATTGTGCATTTCAAATTATTCATTTCACTTATTATTTTTCTTGAAGTAAGATTAAAATAGAGTTTTTTAGCTTAAAGAAAAAGAAGAATGTAAATATATTTTCCATCGGGGTTTTATCTCATGTTGTGGATTGGATATATCACACATGGAATTGAGTTTTCTTAATTACTTGTGGATTCAAGCATGAACGTAATCAGAAATGAAATGTAAATGAGTCAAAGTTAAAAAAACAATACAATTTTAAATTAAAATAAGTACAAATTTAAGAAAAAAAGAACTTGTCCGCTCGAATATTTATCACTTATAAATGTAAATCTAACAAAACGTGAATATTTATCTTGTTTATGCTTATCCTGTTATCTTGCTTTGTTAATCCCCTGCATCACGGTGACAATGAATCTGGAAAATTAAGGATATTGATTTTCTAATCGTGAAATGGTTATGAGAAGTTTGTTAATATGACATGATCACTTGTCAAGGGAAGTGCAAGTGCTCTACTATATATTTTTATATAAATTATGACAAATTTTTGAACTTTTGGAGCTAGGCAGTTCATATGGTTAAGATTCAAGATTACTCATGTATTTAACGCACCTTAAAAATGATATAACTTAGGTACAATCTTAACAATTAAAATGCATTAATCTAATAGTTCGAAATTATGTTAAAAACTTATTTTAAAAGTGTGGGATACTAAAATCACAACTAAATACAAACATTTTATAGAAAAATAAACCGATATGACAAGATATAAAAAAAGAGACTAGAATTAAAGAAAAAGGAAAAAAAAAAAAAAAAAAAGGAAAGAGATTATAAGATCTTAACATATTTGACTAATGTCTCACTCACTCCAATTATAAAGAAAAAGAAGCACATAAAGATAAAGTTATATATGTAATGTCTATATATATTAAAAAGAAGAGAAATAATAATTAAAGATGATCTAATTATTCACACTTTAATGTTACATTAAATTCTACTCATTTTTATCCTATCAACAATCCTCCAAATTACCTCTTGACTTCAGACCTCATACCCATTCTAAACCCAAATGGGATCATCCCATTCAACCCGATTTAATTTTGTGGTGGGTCAGAACCCACCCCAATTAGGTTTGTTGCCATCCCTATCTGTAAGTAGAGAATATGGTAGTCTCTTTTAAAATTAAAAAAATTAATCAAAATGGATGATATAATTAATACTATTACAACAATGGTAAATCATTTGATATGAAAAAAAAGTTAGAATCGATTTATTTTTTTATAATTTAGTATCAATCTTGTTCACATCAGAAAATGTCCATTCCCACATCCATGCTTAGTATATATGCCCATTTTTGTTTTTCTCAGATAAAGAGCTAGCCATGAAGCTTGTTTTAGCAATTGTTATGAAAGTTCCGAACGGATTTGAAGTTAGAGGCCTGGTTTTTGCTGACTTAATTCTCGGTTATCATGAACAAATGAAGAGCTACAACATTATTCTAAATAAGTCGGCAGCCAAGCCTTCAAATTGGTAGCAATTGAGCTTGGATTCATGTATTACTTACTCTACACCAAGGCAACCATAGTTTGCATCAAATACAGTATCTTTCATCGTTGCACCTGCTGCTTCTCCCAGATTTCTGTATTAATTGTCTTCTTAATCATCATTAATAAGCATGCCTATTGTCACAATCCTAAAGAATTGTGCAGCCTTAGAGCACAAACAGAGTTTTACAGGTAGATCTAACGGTCCAGATTCATGCAATTCTAATAGGCTAGATGGCTAGGATTAATCATATGAGAATAAAAATCCTAATCCTATTCTGTTGCCTATTTGAGTGAGGAATCTGGAGCATCTTGGAACCTTCACGACATATTCTCTAGATACTCTTTGGATCTAAGCCTCTCACCTTGGATTAGGTCCAATGGACCTTTGAGTTCAAGCTAGATGTCACACTGTTCACCAATCGGTATCTTCATAACTTGTGTATTCCTATTCGGGGTTGTTTTCCTAGAGATTTAAGCATTCATCACAGTAATTATTTTTTCTGACTAGACAAAACTTTGGCAGAAGAGGTGGTCCAGATCTATGGATCAGAAAAACCTGATAATTAAGTTCTTGCCTTGAAAGTGTATCAGTGGAGAGCTCACAACGCATTTGGCATCAAAAAATCCCATGCTTGACTTGGAAAGATGTGAATGATGATTTGCAGGAGTTCATCTTCAAGCAGATATTAAAGAAGGCAAGAAAATCAAAATTGGGTTATGAAATTCATGCTTAGAGAAAAGATTTGTAATCGTGATCATGAATTCTGTTGGAGCATGTTAGGATTAGTTTCCCAAATAGTCCACTATGCTTTTAGTAACTAGCAAGTAGCTTTAGTCTAGCCTTTCTAATGAGCAACTTGACTCACGTGTATTGTGCTCATGCTATATAACAGAGCTTGTAACTAATTTTTGTAACAATTTTAATCAATACAGAAAAAGCTTAGTGTTCTTCTCTTTTCTTGTTTCTTTGTTTCTCTCAAATCCTATCTTCAACTTGGTATCAGAGCCTTTGACCAACGTCAACAATGGCTGATTTTTCTTCAAACTCTTCTCCACATCACAAATGATAAAGATTCAAATCATTCAAAACAGAAACAGAATTCTGACTTCAGTAATTTCACTTACTCAACTACAATATCCTCAACCACGCTCCCTATAATCTCTCCCAAGCTCACTAGAGATAATCATAGATTTTGGAAATCGCAAATACTATTCGCAGTTAGAGCTCATGAGCTTGAGGATCATCTCACCGGATTGATTTCTTGCCCAGTGCCATTCATTCGAATTCAATCAGACAGCCCCAGCTCTGAAATTGTCAAAAACCTAATCCAGAACACAACCTCTGGAAGAAGACAGACAAACTTCTCGTCAGCTGGCTGTTGTCATCCATTTCAGAATCAATTTTTTCGATAATCTCTAAATGTCAATTTTCAACTGAGATTTGGCTCACTTTAGAGAAAGAATTTCTCACTAAGTCATGAGCTAAGACACTACATATTAAGAGCTGACTGCAAAATACAAAGAAAAATGATCTAAGTGTGCATAATTACTTTCTTAAAATGAAAGGATTTGCTGAAAGTTTTTCTTCAAGTGGAATTATTATTTCTGATGAAGAACTGTTGAATTACATCTTAGATGGACTTGACTCTGATTATGATGCAGTTGTGGTAAACATTACTACTAGATTAAAGTCTAGACTAGATCCTATTTCAGTTCAAGAATCTCAAATAATTCTGCAAAAACTGGAAGTTAGGTTAGAAAAGGCTAACAATGTACTGAACTCAGCTATATAGTCTGAATTTCATGGGATCTCTACCAATGTTGCAAATCTAAGTATTGATAGTAATAGAAATAAGTCACAATTGGATGCAAATGGTTCATTTCTTACTAATGTATCTTAGTCTTCATCACATACAACCCTGACACCTTTACAGCAGCCACATAACCTGGTGCCATCCTACTATACTGCAAATCAAAATTACCCTATGTACTTAACTCTCCTAATAAGTTTTATCCTTATCAACCTAGAAATTTTACTGGTGGAAGAGGTAAAAGTAGAGTAGGTGGTAGGAACAAACTTGTTTGTCAAGTATGTGGGAAGACAAGACACCTAGCTTTGAATTGCTATCATAGATTTGATGTCCATTTTATTGGTAACAACACATTGGTTAGGAGTAATGTTAGTCATATTTCTGCTCCTAATTTTGCAAGACCTCTTGAGCTTACAGGACCCTCTGACTTCACTCATGGAGGATCATCGTATTATCCACATTCAGGACTATCACAAGGTCCTAACTCTGGACCTTCTGTTCATTATACTGGAGCTGGTATGAGTTCACGGCCCTTTGCGCACTACTCTAGAGCTGGTATGAATTTAGGATCATCAGTATAATCATCAAAGGATTTCTCCCCACAAATTACTTCTGGTTTTGGATCACTAACACATCAATCCCTTTCTACACCTGCAAACATAAAAAGTCAAGTATTCATGGCTCAATCACAATCACAAAACCAGAATCACACCCCTGCAGCAATCAACTATGTTGTTACACCTTCAGTTGTTCAGGATGCAGCATGGTACATGGATTCTGGAGCAACAGACCATGTAACCTCTGATTTTGCACAATTAATAGTAAGCACTAGCTACACTGGAAGTGAGCAGCTCCAAGTGGGAAATGGTGCGTTACTTTCAACCTCTCACATTGGTTCCTCTATGTTATCCTATCCTGGTAGAAATTTGCATCTTAGGAATTTCTTTATGTTCCTAAAATTACAAAGAACCTGCTAAGCATATCCAAATTTACTAGAGATAAATGAAGTGTTTGTTGAATTTTTACTTTGGTTTCTATGTGGTTAAGGACAAGTCTTCCAAAGCAATTCTTCTTTAAGGAATGCTTAAGGATGGCCTATACCGACTTTAGATTCCAATCTCTGCTTCTTGTCTTCCTATTGGAGCCTTGGCAACTTCAGTTAATCTTCAGCCTTATGACAATAATCCAACCTCACTTTCAGCACTTGTGTTTTGCCTTTATTGTCTACTAGTATCTCTAAGTGTCTATTAGGTTGTGCCTTGTCTGCTGGCCAACCATGTTTGAATTGTAATAAGTCTTCTGTTACATACTATAACTCTGTAATTCCTGCTACAGACTATAACTCTAAAAATGTATCTTCCTTTTGTGTTGCATCTGATATAAATAAATTGCATGGTATTCAATCATTTCCTGCTCAAAGAATTGATGTTATGTTGTGGCATAAAAGATTAGGACATCCAAATAGTTTTGTTTTGACCAAGATCCTAATTGAACTCAAAATACATCACTCATCCAAAGCTGATTACACCTTCTATCAAGCATGTCAGTTTGGTAAATTACACCAATCAATATATCCTAAGTCCTTTTCTCAGTTAACGAAACCTCTTGATTTGATTTACTCAGATCTCTGGGGACCATCACCTGTCTCTTCACCTGAGGGCTTTAGATATTACATCCAGTTCTTGGATGATCACAACCGATTTACCTGGATCTTCCCTTTGAAAAATAAGTCAGAAACTTACTCTATTTTCATTAGTTTCACAAGTTAGTAGAAAGACAGTTTAGTTCAACCTTTAAATGTGTTCAAACCGATTGGGAAGGAGAATTTAGAAGCCTTGTTCCCTACTTTGCTCAACATGGAATTTCCTTTAGGCATCCATGTCCACACAATCACCAACAAAATGGTAGAGTAGAGAGGAAACATAGATAAATTGTTGAGAAAGGTCTAACCTTGTAAGCTCAAGCTCAAGCTCACATGCCTCTCAAATTCTGGTGGCATGCCTTTCAAACTGCAATGTATTTAACAAACAGTCTTCCCTCTCTTGTGCTCTCCAATCTCTCCCCCTTTCAAAAATTATTTCACTATCCACCAAACTACTCTATCATAAAAGTCTTTGTTGTGCCATTTACCCATTTCTTAGACCTTATAACCATCATAAATTTGATTTTCATACCACTAAATGCACTTTTATTGGTTTTAGTTTGCAACACAAAGGATACAAATGTCTTGCTCCTAATGGTCGAATTTATATCTATCAGAGTGTCAAATTTGATGAAATGGACTTTCCTTTCTAATCTCACAAAGTTTCCAGTTCTTTAACCTCTTGTACATAACCTATTTCCATAGAGTCTCCACCTGTTCCTACTTCTCATTCAACCTGGCATATTCCTAACTCCGTGTCAACTTATTCCTCAGATAACCTATCCTCTTCTGTATCTCCTATATCTTCTGATAACTCCATGAGTCATTCTCAGCCAACTCATACTTCAAAACCAGTATTCGAACAACCTATCTACACTCCACTAGCCGAAAAGTCACTAATCCTCTTCCACTTGTCCTACTGCGCCTAATCAAGTATTCAACAAGCATGATTTAACTCTAGTATATGACACTTCTATGTCTATTACTTCTCCTATAACCATTGCTTCTGATGCATCTTTTGACACTATACCATTGATTGTTGACTTATCCTTTCCTAAATTCAACACTACTACCCAAAACACTTATCAAATGATAACTAGGTCCAAAGCTAAAGCTCACAATACTGCCCTCCTTTCTACATCTCACCTTGATACAAAGAACCAAACACTGTTTCATAAGCTCTTTCTCACCCCTCTTGGACAACTGTTATGCAATCAGAGTTTAATGCACTCTTACCTAGTCAAACCTGGGAAATAGGTTCCACTTACTCCAGACATGCATCCAGTTGGCTATAAATGGTTGTTTAAAGTTAAACATAATGCTGATGGTTCTATCTACATGTTCAAAGCAAGATTAGTTACAAAACGGTTTCAGCAAACCCTTGGAATTGACTACCTAGAAACCTTCAGTCCAGTTATGAAATCACCAACTATTAGAGTTATCCTTAGTCTAGCCGTGAGCCATGAATGGGACATACAATAGGTTGATATTAATAATGCATTTTTGAATGGTGAATTAGCTGAAAATGTATATATGTACAGCCATGAGGGTTTGTGGATTCTGTCAGTCCTCATCATGTATGTAGATTAAAAAAGGCACTATATGGGTTAAAGTAGGCCCAAGAGCTTGGTTTGACGCTTAAAACAACATTTCTCGATTGGGGTTTTGTACATTCAATGGCTGATCCAAGTTTGTTTATTTATTAACATTAAGAGCAAATCATGTATGTTTTAGTCTATGTGGATGATATACTCTTAACAGGGAATACTCCTCAGTTGATTCAAGAAACTATACAGAAGCTCAACACTCAATTTCCCTTGAAGATTCTTGGATCTTTAAAGTATTTTTTAGGCTTTGAAGTCACACGAAATGCATTTGGCCTATACATGAATCAAGAAAAGTATGCAAAGGACATTCTAATCAAAACCAAAATGGTTGATTGCAAACCATGCTCTGCACCAATGGCAGTAGGCACTAAACTGACCCCAGATGACAATGAATTATTTGATAATCTTGCACTTTACAGGAGTACCATTGGAGCCTTACAATACCTTGTACTATCCAGACTAGACATTGCCTATTCTGTCAATAAACTGAGTCAATTTTTAAAGCCTCCAACACAGTTACATTGGCAGGCTTGTAAGAGGCTACTCAGATATATTGAAAGGACTTCTAATTATGGAGGTCATTTCACCAAGAGTCATCGGTTTCATCTGGAGTGTTTTACTGATGCTGACTGGGCCAGCAGCCCAAATGACAGAAGATCAACAAGTGGTTGTTGTGTGTTCCTTGGCCCCAACTTAATTCAGTGGCACTCTAGAAAACAGAAAGTTGTTGCTCTGTCATCTATTGAAGCAGAGTATAGAGCCCTTGCACAGGGTTTAACTGAGCTTGCCTAGTTTTGTAGTTTGTTCTCTAAAATAGGATTACAACTTACTGATATTCCTATCATTTGGTGTGACAACCAAAGTGCTAGATCCTTGGCCTCTAATCCTATCTTTCATGGCAAGACATAACACATTGAGCTTGATGCTCATTATGTGAGAAACCAAGTGACTGCAAACAAACAGAAAGTTCAATATGTTCCTACTAAATTTCAGAAAGCAGATGTTCTTACAAAACCATTGCTAGCCTCTAAGTTTTCCAGCATTTCGAGATAAGCTCAATATAAGAGCTCCTCCGTCAGTGTAACAAGCTACAGAGTTTCTATTGCTTTTAAGGTGTTGAAGTTGTTTCAGATTTTTTTTTTTTTTTTTTTTGTCTAAGATTTACTGATGAATCTGAAGCATGAATGTATCTACTCTCTGAATGTTCTTGTATTTGCTCTCCGAATGTTCCACTGATGAATCTATTCTTTGAATGCATATGTTCTCTGAATGCTCTTGTGTCTACTCTATGAATGCTCCACTGGTGAATCTGCTCTCTGCTCTCTAAATGCTTTTGTATATGCTCTCTGAATGCTTTTGTATAGTAGGGCTTCATTACAGAATGATGTTTGAATTAGTTGTTAAATCAACAAGTTTATGGAGGTTTGGTTTAAGGAAGGATGTTAGGATTAGTCCCTAAAATTGTCTATGTCTATGGAAGTTTGGTTTAAGGGAGGATGTTAGGATTAGTTTCCCAAATAGTCCACTATGCTTTTGGTAACTGGCAAGTAGCTTTAGTCTAGCCTTGCTAATGAGCAACTTGACTCACGTGTATTGTGCTCATGCTATATAACGAGCTTGTAACTAATTTCTGTAACAATTTTAATCAATACAAAAAAAGCTTAGTGTTCTTCTCTTTTCTTGTTTCTTTGTTTCTCTCAAATCCTATCTTCAATTGAGCACAACTGATGTAGAGTTGATCCATAGTCTTCTTCTTTGGCACATTGCAATTGATAACTATTACTATGATGATTTGAATAAGGAAGATGCTAATAACCTCCATCGCAAAAATGCAAGATTGTTAGCAAATGTTTATCAGGTTTCATGTTGTATCTATTAGTCATGTGTCCAAACATGTCGCCCAAAAGACTTGGTCAGATGATGTAAAGAGATACATATGCTGAGGCCATACAATTTTTTAAACTAAGTACTATACCCACTCATAAAAGTGATAAATTCCCTATAATAAGAAGAGCTTGTAGTAAGATTCTTCAAGTAAACTCTGATTCTCTAGTAGAACGAAGGAGAGGAGATACATGTAAGTTAGTTCAATTTTTAGATGTAGACTTGCCACGCAATTGCACGCACTAAAATTCCAAGATGATGAGAGGGATAATATTGAACAAAAATGGGAGCTGGTAAGTGAATTTTGGGTGGAAATTTTGGCATACGCTGGAAGTAGTTATGAATGGAAAAACCATAGATTGTCAAACACAGGAAACTTCTAATCACGCGCTTGTGAACTAAAGCTCCCTTAAAAAGGGCACAGTGATGAGCAGGCATAGGATCTAGAAGAAGTGGGAAGGCAGAGAATCGAGACAGTCTTAGCTATAATCACTGCCTTTACCTGAGTATCTTCTTTATCATCTGAAAACAAAATAGTTTGTTATTGAATTGTCTCGCTTCCTAACCCTAAAAGCTCTCTCCTTTTGGTCTTGCTCCATAATCTGAAAGTAAATCTACCGGATAAATAAGTGGTAAGCATTCTCGAGGTCTTTGATCTAGTTCAAGCAAAGGAATGGCAGACTACTCTATTCCCTAAAGGCAAAGAGTTGCTCATTTACATATCCCTTCTTATGGCACATCTTCGTCTAAGTGGAAAATATCAAGTCATATTGCGCTACTTTTATTTCTGAAGTTAAAGAATGAAATGCAAGACATAAAAATTATTTTTTAAAGAAATACCCATATGTTAATGAATGATATTGCTTACTTAAGCCCAAATATTCCATAAAAAGACATATATGAGTGAGCAACTCTCCACCTTTAATAAGTTGTTTCCCATATGCTCCTTCCATCCACAATTATTTGTAGCATATATTAACATTTCTATCCATATTTCACTTACCATCTTCCATGCCTGTTCATGGCTCTAACCATATTGGTTGGATTTCAGTTCTTGCAATTGCTTCATTAGTCCACTTCCATAGTATAGCATAGATAGACTTTTAACCGTCTCATTTTTTGTGCTTGCACAAGGAAAGTGGCTCAAATCAAGAATTATACTGTAGGCTTCATTTTTTGAAATATTAGACATATTTAGCCCCTTCATTTTTGTTTCAAGAAAAACCAAAACATCCATACAAGTTTCCTTTTACCTTACCTCACCAATATCCCTTTAGGCAACATGGTTGGACATATCACTAAAAGATACAACATATAATTTGATAGCCATTTACTAATTTTAAAATCTATAGGAATTTCATTATCATTTGCATAGTGGCCATAATCAGCATGATAACATATATCAATGGTAATGTGCAAAAATAGAAGAATTTGATCAAAATCTACCTCAATTGTACTCCAAAAAAATTCATCAAGGCATAACATTTTGGCCAATGCATTATGACCTCTCTTAGCTAACAAATCTTTGCATAGCGTGTTATCAAAACGGTTCTCTTCAATTTTATTGTTTGTGCTCCTATAAAAATAATTGAAAAAGTGATTTGAGTTATTGAGCTAACAGATCATGGAAGGGACATACCGTTTTTCTTCTTGTCCTTGATCAATGTTGCCCTTGCACTTGAGTCCATAGATGCAAAAACAAAAGCCTTGTATTCAAACATCACATTCTTCCTATCAATTTTACTTTAATGCAAAATATTGCAATTTAAATGCTATTAAAAAAGGCTCTGGCATGAGTACAAAGGCCCATACTTGTATATTGCTTGAATTTATAATGGTAACCTCTCTTTGAGTTATCCCTCTGCATGTCAACTAATCACAAGGTAGGAAGATAAAAGTTCTCATGATAGTGTACACAGTCTTCATGCAGTTAAAGCTAACAAAAGTTTATACATTGCAAGGAGCTTGCCATTGGTTGGAACATTGGACGAAAAAATAGGATCACAAAAAACTTGCTTCGAGCATATCCTCTTCCAAGAGTTAGTATTCCATGTCACAATACTTCCACCCTTGTCTATCTAAAAGTAAAGTTAATGATGGTTAGCTAATAAAATAGTGAAGTGGATAAGAGCATTTTTAGCAAGAAAAAGGGGCGGTGGCTCCTGAATACTAAAAATTCACCTGCTATTGCAGCAATGTAAAGAATATAATTCTGATCACTAGATGGAGAGAATCTATAGGAGGCAAGACCCTCATCATGGATGAATTTAAAAATGGATGCAGTTAATTTGGAGCCCATGTAAAAGAGAATCAACTCTAGTAAACAAAAATTAAGGCCAAACAAGAGAAGGCTTGAAGATTTTCCTAGAAAAGAATCTTTCTATTCTTTAAGTGTGAGGTAAACATAAGTGAAAATAGAGGAAAAACTTATTCACTCTTATTCACTTAAAGAAATACAAATCATACATCTCTAGTTATAGACTAGCTCTAGATATCTTGATAACCCTAAGTTAGGATTATCCTAACTTTTAAATTTTAAAACTAGATCATGTCTAGATAACTCCTAAGTTTTCACATTCTTATCTTAGGAATTCAACACTCCCCCTCAAGCTGATGAGAAGATGTCTAGCATTCCCAACTTGGAGATGAGACTATCAAAACTTTGTCTAGGCAATCATTTTGTAAGGATATCGGTGGTCTGCTAGCTTGTAGGTAGATATGTAACAGACAAAAGCTTCTTTTCTATCTTTTCTTTGATAAAGTGGTGATCTATCTCCATATGTTTGGTTCTCTCATGATGAACTGGATTGTGTGCAGTAATTGCAGCCTTGTTGTCACAATAGAGCTTCATAGGTTCCTCTAAACTCAACCTCTACACTACTCCTTGCTACTACAGTTTGCTTCTTGCTCCTCCAAGTCACCAAATTTCCCCAAACAAATGTACAATATCCTGAGGTAGACCTTCTATCACTCGTTGAACCTGCCCAGTCTGCATCTGTGAAAGCTTCCACCTTTCTTTCATTAGTCTTCCTATAGAACAATCATTTCTCAAGAGTTTTCTTCAGAGATCTTAAGATTCTATTTACAACCTCAAGATGCTTCTCTTGTGGATTGTGCATGTGCTAACTTACTACACTTTCAAAAAATGCTATGTCAGGCCTAGTATGAGATAAGTATATTAATCTCCCAACTAGTCTTTGATACCTCCCTTTATCAACTGGTGTATCTCCATTTATCTCATTAAGTTTCACATTCTGTTCAATGGGAGTCTCAGTAGGTTTGCAACCTAACATTCCAATATCCTTCAATAAATCCATAACATATTTCCTCTAAGACACAGAAATTCCCTTCTTATTCCTTGCAATCTCCATGCCTAAAAAATATCTTAGTTTGCCCTAAATCCTTTATCTCAAAGTCCTGAGCAAGAACTTTTTTTTACCATATCCATTTCTTCAAGATTATCCCTCATAAGAATAATAGCATCAACATATACTATTAAGATAGTAATCATACCGCCCTTAGTCTTGTAAAATAGTGTATGATTAGCCTGTCCTTAAACAAAACCATAACTCCTAATAGCTTTAGTAAATTTCTCAAACAAGGCCTTAGGAGACTGGTTCAAGCCATACAAAGATTTTTTCAGCCTGCACACCATCTTGTCAGTCTGACTTCCTTCAAAACCTAGTGACAACTCCATATAAACTTCTTCTACAAGATGACCATTCAAAAAAAGAATTCTTAACATCCAATTGTTGCAAGGGCCAATCTAAATTTGCAGTAAGAGATAGTAGCACTCAAATAGTGTTCAGTTTGGCTACAAGAGCAAAAGTCTCCTGATAGTCTACTCCATAGGTTTGTGTGAACCCTTTAGCTACCAATCTTGCCTTGTATGTCTCAACTGTTCTTGT